CGCGCCCCGCCCGCGCCCTTGCCCCCTGCAGCCGCCCGCGGGTAGTGCGCATGCTCCACTCGCGCGGTTCTGCCACGCTCGGCGTGGGCCGCGGTGGGACCCGTAGATGCCCGGCCGTGCGTGCTCTCGCTGGGTGACCCGGAAGGGAGCTGCTGAGAAGGCGGGGCCAGGACGGCGGGGCCGGCCGCTGAGTCCCAGCGGGGGCCGAGCAGGGCGGTGGGAGGTGAGAGGAGAGACCCACGCGGGCCCTGTCCCTTCCCCGTCCCCTCCCCGGTCCCTTGGCCTCCCTCCGTGGCCTGAACCAGGCTCGCTCCCGAGTTTTGCTTGGTCCTGTCAGAGCCGCTTTGGACTCCGCCCCCAAGCCGGTTCCCATCGCGGTACTGGCCTCCCCCTCCCGGGGTCCCGGTCCCGCTGGACGGCAGCTGGGGCAGGAGCTTGCTCTCAGCCCGGCTCATCCCCGCGTCCAGACCTCACTCCTCCGCATTGGTTTATTATTGCTCCTGGTCCAGACCCGCGGCTCCCCACCCCCCGTCCCCGCTCCTAGGTCTCTGGGCTGGTTTTCCTTCGTCCTGCCTGGGCCACATGGCTGGTTGCCGCCCAGCCTCGCCCCGTGCTGAGTGGGTCCCTGCCCTCCGCGTTCCTTATGCTTTCCCCTACTCTTCACCCCTTTCTTTTCTTCTGCCCCTCTGCCCCAGTAAGCCCGCTGTGCTGAGCACCATGTCCTCACCTGGCTTACCCTCCATTCTCATGTTCACTGTTCCCTTTGGCCGCTGCGCTGCTTCACATCACCCATCTTTTCCTGATCTTCACACTTGCATTCGTAATCTTCTTGCTTAATAAGTGGCCAGTTATCTGTCGCCCACCCCTTTCTTCTCCATCTGAGAAGAATCACCTTAGGTTGTGTTCACTGAGCACTGTTGATCTGCTAAGTGCCGTTCTGCATGCAGAACGTACATGCTCTGACTAAGCTGCTGCAACGTCATGAAGTAGGTCTGACAGTTATTACCATCTTGCAGAGGAGGAAACGGGCTCAGAGGTTAGTACTACTTGTCCAAACTATGCAGATAGTAAGTGAAAGCCAGAATGCAGGTTTATCTGGCTCTGAAATCTGGACTCTTGCCATTCTCTTTTTTTTTTTCCCTACTCTCAGTCCCACAGTTAGCACTTCCACCTATATGAACCTTACGCCCTTACTAACAGCCCAAGTGCAGGTGGGACCTGGTCTTTTTCTCCCATAGTTTTCTCTGGGCCTAAGGTCCCTCCCCTTCTGCAAGACTCACACACTTCCTATCCAGTCATCTGCTCAGCCTCCCTGCATCTCTGTTCTCTGTATCTGCCGTGGCCTATATGCCTTCATATCCACGTGCTGGCGTTACCCTGTCCTGTACTCCCGGTCTGCCCTCCCCCTGTTCTGTTCTGGCTCCAGTGTCTCAAATGCCACTGTCCTTACTGCTCCCCCCATGGTATCTTTTTAAGGTCCTCATCTGTGTCCCTCAGCACCTTGCCATTCTGCCTGGTCTGTTCTGTCACTCACTTAGTTTATTATTCCTGTGCCTATTACTTTTCTCTTGTACCTCTTCCATGCTTTTAAGCCCCTCCCTGTTTCACTCCATTCTCCTATCGTGAATCCCACTGTGTGTTCAGCTGTTGATGCCATCCTGCCCTTCACCTTTTCAGTTTGGCCTCTAAATTCCTCCCACCATGTAGGCTACCAGTCACCTCTAGTTGTATTTGTGTCTCAGAATTCGATGCCCTGCATATAGTCCTTTTATTTTTCAGTACTACCTGTCTTTCTTCTGTGTGTTGCAGGTGGTCAGGATGGTGGGGGAGCGGCGTGCGGGGGACCTCATGGTGCCCTTAGGGCCCCAGCTGCAGGCATATCCTGAAGAGCTCATTCGACAGCGACCTGGGCATGATGGGCGTCCTGAATATCTGATCCGATGGAGTGTCCTGAAATGCGGGGAAGCTGACAAAGTGGGCGTGGAGGAAGGCAAGGCAGAGCACATCCTCATGTGGCTGTCGGCCTCCGAGGTCTATGCCAACTGCCCTATGCTGTTAGGGGAACGGGCCTTATCTAAGGGACCGCAGCACGAGCCGGCTGGGGGCCCAGGAAGCTTTCCCCGTGATCCAGGAGGCCTGGATGAAGTGGCAATGGGAGAGATGGAGGCTGATGTGCGTGCGCTGGTACGCAGGGCTGCCAGGCAGCTGGCAGAAGGTGGGACCTCGAGCCCCACAGCTGCGGTACTCCACACCATCCATGTGCTCAGTGCCTACGCCAGCATCGGGCCCCTCACGGGGGTCTTCAGGGAGACAGGAGCCCTGGACCTGCTCATGCACATGCTGTGCAATCCGGAGCCTCAGATCCGTCGGAGTGCGGGCAAGATGCTGCAGGCTCTGGCAGCTCATGACGCTGGTAAGAGACGGCCGGGGAAGAAGGGAAGCACTGGAGAGAATAGGGAAGCATTGGAAAGAATAGGGCCACCAGGAGTGAGACCAGAAAGAGGAGAGATTCTCCAGCTCTGGAAGAACACCTAGGGTATGTTGCATGTGAACTTGACGCAAAAGAAAAATGGGTCTTTACAGGTACACAAACAGGACAGAAAGATAGCATCTGGGGGCAGCAGATGGTGTGGTGTTTGGGGGGCTGGACCCCATATGACCAACTCTGCTGTTAAAGTCCCCAACCCAGCAGCAAAAAGTCACATTGGTCATTTGTGTGTGTAAGCCCAGAATCCCAAGAGGAGAATGGAGGAGAAGGGATTGCATTAACTCCCTCCCCACCGGGGGATGATTTCTCACTTTTCCTCTCTCTTTCCTCTCTGTCTTCTGTCTCTGGTGAGCACACATACCCTATAGGAAAAACTAAAGAAAATAGAAAAAGATAGCATCTGTTTTATCTGTTCATTGACAAAGAAAGGAGTGGGGTAGGTTTGCATTTCTTAAACTGTGGGTTGAGATTTATTAGTTGTTTTTGAAATCAATTTGTTACATCCAATATAGTTTTTAAAAACCCAGAATATCAGCACATAGCACTTAGTAAGAATAGGTCTTACAACATGTTCTGTGTGTGCATGTTTGTACCAGATTACTGTGTGAAAGGTATTTCTTGCTGGGGGTCTCAGTTGCAAAGAAGTCTCCAGGCCTTGGAGTAGGGTTTAGAGAATCTAGGAAAGACAGAAAAATGTCGGGGATTGAGGAGAAGATATGGATTGGGTGTGGATTACAGGGAGTCGGGCTCACGTCCTTCTGTCACTGAGCCAGCAAGATGGCATCGAGCAGCACATGGACTTCGACAGCTGCTATACTTTGCTGGAGCTGTTTGCAGAGACCACGTCCTCCGAAGAGCACTGCATGGCCTTTGAGGGCATTCACCTGCCTCAGGTACTCTGCCATGCGTGGGGAAAATGCCGTGTACGAGGCCCAAGGCATTGTTTCTGGAACTGCAGTTCGGGACTGTGTGTCAGTACCAGAGTCACCTGGGAGCTTATTAAAATGAAGGTTTATGTCCCCCTCCCCAACTTATCCCCATTAGAATTTATAAGATCAAACCTCGGAATCTGTGTTTTAAGACACCCCCTGTGCATTTCTTCCATAAATTAGTCTGAGAGCTGTAGGCCTAGGGAGGAGGCCTTTATGTTTTTCTGTAGAGAAGGATATTGAGGAGAAAGGGGTGGGGGTTAAAGCTGGGAAAAGATGAGCCTATGTCAAGGATTATGTCCTACAGATCCCAGGAAAGCTGCTCTTCTCCCTGGTGAAGCGCTACCTGTGTGTCACTTCCCTGCTAGATCAGCTGAATAACAGTCCAGAGCCAGGAGCTGGAGACCAGAGTTCCCCGAGTCCCGCGAGGGAGAAAAGCCGGGGAGAGAGGGAGCTGGAGTTCAGCATGGCTGTGGGCAACCTCATTTCAGAGCTGGTGCGGAGCATGGGCTGGGCCCGGAACCTCAGCGGACAGGGCACATTGCCACCCCGGCCAACCCGGTCCATCTTTCAGCCCTGCGTTACAGGCCCTAGCCTTGTACTCCCCACCATTGTCACCACCCCCAGAAGGCAAGGGTGGGCCTTCCGCCAGCGCTCTGAATTCTCTAGTCGTAGTGGCTATGGTGAGTACGTGCAGCAGACACTGCAGCCAGGGATGCGAGTGCGGATGCTGGACGATTACGAGGAGATCAGTGCTGGGGATGAGGGCGAGTTCCGGCAGAGCAACAATGGCGTGCCCCCTGTGCAGGTGAGTGATGCGCAGCGGGACTCGATGGAGCATAACTGGGGCTTCCGTGTAGGAGGCTCTGGCAGGCCATTGAAAGAGAAAAACCCAAGGGAAACTGGAACTATAAAAGGGGGGCAGCACTTGATGGGGCCATTTGGAGGGCTGAGAAGATGTAGCAGGCGTAGGTAGCTGTAAGATCATAGAGAGACTCGCTACCAGTGGAGGAGGCTAGCAGGGAGTGTGAGAACAGAGGCCACCAACATTAGAAAGGCAGGGCCCACTCCTGATAGGGAAAGGAAGGCTTTTGCTTAACGTAGGTTCTTCCAAGCCTAGCCAGGTGCACATCTGGGGGTATGCATCAGGTCTGGGCTTGGGTCTGTCCTTCAAGCCTTCATAGCCAAGAGCTCTGGGCTGAGGCCTCTCTATTCTTCTCTCTTCTCCCACCCTCACAACAGGTCTTCTGGCAGTCAACAAGCCGTACCTACTGGGTGCACTGGTACATGCTGGAGATCCTGGGCCCTGAGGAGGCTCCTGAGGACACTGCTGCAGCAGCTGTAGAGAAGGGGGCAGGGACTACCGTGGTGGACACAGGTGGGCCTAGGAGGGGACATGGACAGCGTGTTCTAATCAGAGGAGTAACGAGGTAAACCCACTCCTGACCGAAACTACCTCTTCCTGATGGGCACTGGTATCCTGTGTCCTCAGCACTTCCCTCCTGGGACTGGAAGTCTGTGGATGGGCTCTACTCTCTGCCGTACCTCCAGCCCGAGCCTCAGAAGAATGAGAAATTGGGACACCTGACCCAGGCTGAGTGGTGGGAACTGCTTTTCTTTATTAAGAAGTTGGACTTAAGTGAGCAGCAGCCAATTATTCAGAATCTTCGGGAGAACCCGGATGAGGTATTACAGGCCTGAGGGACCTGGGGGTGGGGTTGTACTGGGCTTCGAGGTGGAATTCTCTAGAGGGAGCTCTCAGTGCCGGGTAGTACGTACAGAGCGGGTGGAGCGAGAGGTCAGAGTGTGGGAGACCAATGCTGGGAGGGCTAGTAGGTCCAAGGTGTGAGGGCATGGCAGAGAGTGGCTCTCCTTCCCGTTGCTGTCCTCAGGACCTTTGTGTCTTCTTACCCCCTCCTGTTGACAGGCCCTGGGAGAGAAAGCCCTTGGTGAGATCTCTGTGTCCGTAGAGACGGCTGAGAGTCTGCTGCGGGTCCTCAGTAGTCGGTTCGAGGGCAGCACCCTCAGTGACCTGCTCAGCTCCCAGATCTACACCAAGTACAGGCTGCCTCCTGAGGGCCCAAGCAGCTCGTCTTCTCGAAGTCGCTGCTATTCCCCAGATCCAGGAGAGTGCAAGTCGGAGGCCACATCCTCAGAGGAAGACACTGAGTCCCCCAAAGCAAAGGCCGAGTCCCCCGAGGGGGAGGCAGAGCCTGCTGAGGCAAAGACTGAGCCCCCCATGGCACAGAGTGATTCGCAGCTGTTTAACCAGCTTCTGGTGTCTGAGGGGGTGGTTCTGTCCCCGGAGACAAAGGAGGCAGCCAGTGGTGAGTCGGATTCTGGGAGGGGAGGGCATAGCCATTGGAACTAGTCCTGGGTGGGCCTGACAGAAGTGGATAGTCATGGGAGAGGGAAGACCCTGGAGTAAGGTCCCTGTCACAGGGGAAGATGCCTTCGAACAATCGTGCACCCATCTTCTCCCCTTGGACCTCGATTGTATTTCATGGGCCACCACTCCCTTTGTGCGGTGTCTCTGGAAAAGGATGGCCTATTTTTCCAGGGTATTTTCATCCTCGTTTGTCTATTTACATCCGTCCCAGGGAACTGGAAAAGTTCTGAATACAAGTCACAGTAAGGAATAATGTATTACATGTCGACAGGATAGCTGGGCTTGACCTTTAAAGACTTCCAGCTTGCAGGTGCCACTTTCCCCCACTCATTTCAGAAATGGCGAGAGCCTTGCGGGGCCCTGGACCACGCAGCTCCCTGGATCAGCATGTGGCAGCGGTTGTGGCCACTGTGCAGATATCCAGCCTGGACACACACCTGCAGCTTTCGGGGCTCTCCGCCCTCTCTCAGGCCGTGGAGGAGGTCACTGAGCGGGACCACCCTCTGCTCTATCCTGACAGATCACTGAGGTTAGCATGCTGGGGAGGGAGAAAGGTTTTGGTTGAGACTGTCAGCAATAAAGGTGGGTGTAGGGAGAGAAGAACAATGAGATGAAGAATTAGAAAGGCTGGGGGGCAGAGGCAGGCAGACCAAGGAGCAGCCGACCTGGAGTGTGGGATTTATTTTTTTTTGTAATTTGCTAGAGGGTACATACATATATTTGTTAGAGAGAGACAGAGAGAGAGAAAGTCCCCAAATGGGGCATGGTCACACTGTAATCCTTTCTCCTCCATTTTCCTATTTTGTCTGGATTTGGGGCATGCACACACACACGACCAGCATGTGTTTAAAGCCACGAGGACTGGGACTCAGACCACGTGGTTGGCAATGTGGTATCCAGCTCCAGCAGGCCTTGGGGATGGCCCCAGAGGGTGGGATGTTACAGGCTGTGTTACAGCCTACACTGCTGTGCTTGGCACTGTGCTAGTGTTTCATTACGTCCTCCTGACACTGAGGAAGCATTGGCAGTATTGTTACCCAGCTGTATGAGTGAGGAAAGTAACTTGCTCAGAGTTTTATAGATAGCAGAGCCAGGATTCAAACCCAGGTTCTTTTGGTTGTAGAGCTTGAGTTTTCGAATTCATATTTTTTTCTTAATTCTTTTTCTTCTCTATTTTAAAAGTTTTTTTCTGCTTAATTATTCAAATAATATGCTAATTAATTTCCATTTTAAAAGATCTAGAGAACATAAAAAGCCAAAGTCTCATTTTACTGTTGTTATCAGTCTGGCGTGTATCCTTCAGACCTTCTCTAGATTTACCTTCGTGATTGCGAATTTGGACATAGCACATTTTCTGAGTTTGTTTTAATACATGTAATCATACTCTATGGTTTCTCCATCTTTTTTTGCCGCCCCCCCCCGCCCCCCCCGTATGTTGTAGAGGGCTTTCCATGTCAGCCCATGTGGAGCTGCCTTGTTATTTTCACTGCCGTGTAGGACTCTGTGATAAGGTTATATGCAAGTTCAAGTACAGCATTCTGATAGATGTTTTCTCTTACCCTGTCAACATTGGATGTCACCATTCTTTTCATAGTAGATTGGCAGGAAAAATTTTAAAATAATTATTTATTTAATTCCATTTCTTGTTGTTATTTTTAATTTGACCAGAGAGAGACAGAGAGAGAGTGAGAAAGTTAAAGGGAGAAAGCAGACCTACAGGACTTGAACTGTAGTCAGTCATGTGAGAATCCAGCGCCTTTAACTATCACTCCACCTGCTGGCTCCAAGCTTGGCAGAATTTTAAATGATTACTGTCTCCTTGTTTTAATTTTTAGTTCTGGTCAAGTTGCATGTATTTGTTCTGTTTCTTCTCCTATGAATATTCAAAATATTCATTTTTTTTCTTTTTTAAATTTTGCTATAGGGTGCATGTGCTCACTAGAAAGACCAGAGACAAAGAGAAAAAGAGAATGAGAAGGCATCCCACCTCCCCCCATAGGGATGGCCACACCAGTCCTTCTCCATTCTGTCGAGATTTTAGGCATGTATGTGTGCATATGCCCAGTGTGTTTCTCAACCCACCAGATCTGGCACTCAGACCTCATGGTTGGCCATGCAGGATCCAGTTGCCCAGGCTAACCACTTTATTGGCTGGCCCTAAATATTCTCTTCTTATCCTTTACCCAGTTATTGTTTTTTTAATGGTGGGGGAAGTTTACTAATTTATTTACTTATTTAATTTTTGATTGCTAGAGTGTGTGTATGCTTGCCAAAGAGAGACAGAAAGGGAAAAAGCACTTCCCAATGGGATGTGGTCATGACGAAATCCCTTCTTCACTTCTCCATCCTTTCAAGATTTTAGACCTGCACCTAGTGTATTTTTCAAGCTACTGGGGCTGGGTTTCAAACTGTGGTTGACCATGTGGGATCCAAATCAATTACTAGACTACAGGACCAGCCTGAGAGAGTTATTTTATTTAACTTTATCTATTTATTTATTTTATTTTAATTTGACCAGAGAGGGACAGAATGAGAGAGAGAAAAAATGAGAAAGCAAGCTGCAAGGTCTGGGACTCAAACTGTGGTCGGCCATGTGAGAGTCCAGTGCCCTTAACCACCACGCCACCTGCCGGCCTCAGGAGAGTTATTTTTGACAAGGTCTTTCCATGCTGTGATCCTACTACCCCAGCCTCCCAGTTAGCTAGAATTAGAGACTTACCTCACCACACTGGGCCTGTTGAAGTTGGTTCAGAAACCAAACCTGGGCGACACATCTGGTCCCAGACTCATGCACCACTTGCACCTACAGCTGGGCCTGCCCACTTTGTATTTGGGTCTTTTCTTTTTTCTATGGATTTATGGGTATTTTGGATATTAATCCTTTATTTTTATTTTAAATATTTTGTTGTCTTTAAAAAACATGTTAAGTTTTATTTTTTGTGATTACAAAATACATGCTCACTGTTAAAAATGTTAGAAAATTTTGGGACCAGCAGATGGCATAATGGTTATGTTGCTGGAGTCCCACTGTTGTTGACCGTGGTTCGAGTCTTGGACTCAGTGGCTTAAAACTCACACTGGGTGCATGTGCGTGTGTGCCCAAAATTCCAAGGGGAGAATGGAGGAGAAGGAATTGCAGCATGGCCATCCCCTCAGGGGGAGATTTCTTGCTTTCGGCCTCTCTTGTCTATCTCTCCAGCAAGCACGTGTGGTCCTATAGCAAAAATCTTCTCAAAAAAAAGAAACTGATCTAGTAAAAATGATCTGACAATCTTTTATAGAGGCAGTTACTGTTAACATCTTGGCAAACATACTTATATCTCTGTATCTATATATGTTGTTATTAACTAGTCTGTAATAACTTATGACTACAGATAGATGTTTGTTTTTTAAAGAATTATTTATTTATTTAATTCCGTTCGTTGCCATTATTATTTTTTAATTTGACCAGAGAGAGAGAGAGAGAGATAGGGAAAATGAGAAAGCAAGCTGCCCTGTCTGGGACTCAAACTGTGGTCAGCCATGTGGGAATCTAGTGCCTTTAACTGCCACACCACCTGCCGGCCCCAGGGGATATGTATTTAAAGCATATTTCATCTAAAGCTTCTGAGAGTAGACAGATAAAAACAGAAGCTTCTCAGTATCTTTATTCACCTTTGACAGTTCCCACGTTGTGTTCTTTCCCTCCCTGGCTCCCCCCTCAATCTGCATCTCATCCCATGAGGGAAGATGTCACTACCTGTTCTTTTCCCCCTGGTGACCCTCGCCGTGACCTGTGGACTCTGGAATCCTTCAGATCAGCATTTCCACTGGACCCTTTCTCTAGCTCGCATCGTCTACCTGTTAATTTCGTTTATAGTCTCTCATTGTGCTAACGTTTCAGAGCGCATGTTACTGTGTTTTCCTACTTCTTTATGGCGTCTAGATTTGTGTCCTACTTTAGACACAAGGTTTGTCCTATTCCTGGATTATAAAAACATTTCCCTGTATTTTCTAAAAACGTCTATGATTTTATTTTTTACATTCATTTAAAAACTTGTTGGCAATTTGTTTCTACAGATGGTAAGAAGTAGAGCTCCAATTTCAGCTTTTTCAAATGGATAGTCAGGTGTCTGAACATCGCGTTTTACACAGTCCTTCCCTTCCTCACTGGCTGAGGTGCTGCCCTGTCTCTCTTCTCATCTGTTGATCTGTTTGGCTGCCCTGTACCAGTTCTGGGGTTTTCATTATTATAAGTCTCTATTTATATTTTGATAATAATAGACAAGTCAACTGTTACCTCCCAACACATTTGTCTTCCTGTACTAAATCTGCCTGTCGTTTTTTTGTTTGTTTGTTTTCTTAAGCTCTTAGGCATTTCAATTAGAATTACTTTGAATTCATAGATTCATTTGAAAAGATGAGCCAGGGTTCGTGACTATTTGCTCCATAGCCTGCTTCCCGAGGGGAAGAACCAGAGGTAGTTAGAGGGGAGAGGGCAGTTAGAGGGCACTCCGCAGAGTGGAGGGGATCAGAGACAAGGCTGAGGGAAGGGAGCAGGTTGGAAAGGGCTGGGAGAGGCTGGACAGGGCTGGGCAGGGAGTCCAACGAGATCATGGCTGGGAAGTCAAGCAAGGCTCATTGAGATGGGGAGCCTCAATTTCTTTTCTCTTCTCAGAGAAAAGCTAGTGAAGACCTTGGTGGAGCTGCTGACCAACCAGGTGGGAGAGAAGATGGTGGTGGTCCTGGCCCTGCGCCTCCTTTACCTGCTCCTGACCAAGCACGAATGGCGCCCACTCTTTGCCAGGGAGGGTGGCATCTATGCTGTGCTGGTTTGCATGCAAGAACATAAGACTTCCGTCTTGGTGCAGCAGGCAGGGCTGGCGGTAAGTGCACTGGGCCTGGCGAGGGAGAGCAACAGGCAAGACAGGCCGACTGTGAGACTGCAGACCTGGAGCAGATACTGTGGTGGTTTCAACCAGGAGGTAGATGCTGGGGTGGAAAGATGCAGCTAGATTTCAGAGTTTGATCTGGGCAGTCTTGGGGACTGAGCACTTGTTTGGAGAAAGGGAGAAGGGAATTTTTAAGATGGCTCCCAGATTTAAAATTGAATAGCAGGCTGCAGCAGGTGGCATTTACTAAGTGAGAAAAGTTGCAGGAAGAAGTAATATGGGAAGGGGGTCAGGAGTTGAGGTTTTAGGTATGTTGAATGTCTTACACCTTTTTAGTTGCAGTTGGGTTTCTGGTGAAAGATCAACTTTCTATGGCAGTTCTTTCAACTTTTCTGTGGCAGTTCAACTAAAAATACTTTTTTACCCCTTTATCTGAGTGGTACCGTTACACAGAAAGTATTCCCTCACCAGATTTGGGTAAAACAAAGGCAGCAGGACCATTGCCCTATCACTCTGGGCCCAGGACTTTGGGAATGGAGGCCAAGAGAACATACAGAATTGATTTCCTGATTACTCCAGACACAAGTGCTGGCTGGCACGCACTGTGGGTGGGCTGCCCCTACATAGCTTAAGGGTCCCTGAGGGCACAGGTAGGTGCTGGCCAGAGCAGTTCTGAGAAGGGATTCCAACGGTACAATGGCAATGCATGGGGGGAGTGGGTGTTCTCTCAAAGCAGGTCTGTCTTGGGAGAAAGCAGGGGACTCTTTTCTTTGTGAGGCCAACTAGGTGTTGCTCCTTCTGAGAGCAGCCAGGCATCCACAAACTATGCCATTTATTGCTCAAAAAAATTCTCTGATCCTCTTAAATTGCATGACCAAAATACAGCATTTACCCCTAAATTCAGACTTTTTTTTTCTATATTTTTTCTTTATTCATGATAGAGTGTGTGTGGGTGCACTTGAGAGACAGAGAGGGAGGGAGCACCCTCCACAGGATCTGGCTTTGCTGCAGTCCCCTTCCTCGATCCTGTTGGATTTTTGGCACGGGCAGACATGCCTGGCGCGTTTCAGGCTGACCAGGCCAGGGCTTGGAACCACAGTTACCATGTGGAATCTGACTTTTCTCGGCCAGAGCATCAGTGCTGCACCACAGGGCCAGCCCCTAAATTCAGACTCTTGCCTTGTAATAAATTTGCATCATTTTGTTTATAACTTAGGATCTGTAGCACTCACCACATGAGAGAGTAGGGTAGCCGAAGAGAGACAGCCTCATTGCAAAGTAGCATTTTCTTGGAGGGTCCAGGCCTTACCAGGGGGATTGGCCTGAGAATTTTTTGTTTAGGAATTTTGCCATAGAGGGACCAGCAGTTGGTGTAAATGGCTATATCACTGGACTCCCATCTAGTCAACCGCGGTTTGAGTCCTGGACCCAGTGGCTTAAACTCACACTGGGTGCATGTGCGTGCATGCCCAAGATCCCAAGAGGAGAATGGAGGAGAAGGGATTGTGGCATGACCATCCCCCTGGGGGGGGAGGTGATTTCTCGCTTTCTGTCCCTCTGTCTTTCTGGCCAGCAAAACCTCTCAAAAAAAAAAAATTTTGCCAGAGAGTGCACATGCTTACCAGAGACAGACAGACAGTGCGAGGGAAAGTGAGAAATCACCCCTCAGGAAGTATGGCCATGCCACAATCCCTTCTCCTCCATTCTCTTCTGGGGATTTTGGGCACGCACACACCCACATGGTTTTCAAGCCTCCTGGTCTGGGATTTGAACTGCTGTCGGTCATGTGGGAGTCCAGTGTGTTAGCCACCACACCGCCTGCTGGCCTTGTGTCTTGAGAATTATTTCTAGCCCAGTCCATGCCTAGTGGATTTCCTCTAGAGTCAATCCTTTCTCCACTAGAGATATTCTCTACTCTGATGGTGTAGTGTTCATTTTAGTTCAATTTTTCTCTACAGTACAGTAAACTGGTTTGTACATTAGAAGTATTTTCCCTCTAATTCCAGCTCTTCTGCCCGTGACAACCAAGTAGCCTTGTGGAAAGGGCCACATGCTGTCTAAGGCTCGGGGACATGAATTTGAGAGTGCTGGCATATAGGTGGTATTTGAATTTGTAGGGGGTGGAGGAAGTCGCCTAGGAGGGAACAGAGTGAGAGAAGAAAAAGGATCAGGAATGTCAGTGTTTGAGGACCAGGCAAAGGAACACCAGAAAGGTAGGAGAAAAAAACAGGACCATATGAAGTCATGGAACTTAATCGAAAAGAAATTTTCTTTTCTTTTTAAGAATTATTTTTATTTAATTTTATTTATTTACTTATTTTTTAATTTGACCAGAGAGGGACACAGAGAGAGAGAGAGAGTAAGAGTAAGCCGCCAGGTCCAGGACTCGAACTGTGGTCGCCCATGTGGGAGTCCAGCACCCTCAACCACCACACCACCTGGTGGAAGAGAGGTTTCTAAAGGAAGGAATGGTCAAGAGAGATGGGAAACAACTTCAAGGAGAGCCTCCAGATACCACTAGATGCTGTGGAAGGGCACTATCCTTAGGGAAGATACGGGAGTGGTAGCCATCTGCTCAGGGCTGAGAGCTTGGGGGCAGAGAGAAGTGGCCAGCTAGTTTTGCCATCCAGTCTTAGATTTTTTTGTTGTTGCTCACTTTTTTCCTCCTTACCTCTTTTATTCTTTCACTTACTTCCTCCCTCCCTTCCTAGCATTTAATGTCTCATTACCACTTCTTCCTTCTTTCTCCTGCCCTGCCTATTTTCAGACAGCTCAGCTGCCCCAACGTTTGAGGTCTTCCCTGTTAATCCTGGCTCGCTTCTCCTCATTGTGGCTCTGCCCGCTTCTAACTCTGCTTCCGAATCTCCCTCACAGGCATTGAAGATGCTGGCCATTGCCGGCTCCTCAGAGATCCCCACCTTTGTGACTGGCCGAGATTCTGTCCACCCTTTGTTTGATGCCCAGATGACCAGAGAGATCTTCGCCAGCATCGACTCAGCCACACGCCCAGGCTCTGAGAGCCTGCTCCTCACCGTCCCTGCAGCTGTGGTCCTGATGCTGAATACCGAGGGGTCAGAACCTTGCCCTCCAAACTCCAGTACTCCTGCTGAGTCTCAAGTGCTGCTACCCTGCTCCGGCCTCATGTGCTCCACACATGTTCCCCTCATGTTGTCACCTCCAGATTAAATGTTGGTGGCCCTCTCTGACTGCCATTAGAGGAGCCAAGTGGTCGGGGGCAGGGAGATTGTCCCAAAGAGGGCAGAAAGACCTGGACATGTTTTCATGGGGTTGTTAGGAGTGACCTGGCTCAGAGGGACCACAGGAGCCCTGTCCATCCCAACTTCAGGGCCCTCCTTGTTTGCTTCCCTGCTTCCATTGCACTCACACTCTGTCCATTTCTGCCCTGGCCACCCCACTCCTCCCAGGTGCTGCTCTGCAGTGAGAAATGGCCTGCTCCTGCTCAGCCTGCTTTTGTGCAACCACCACACTCTGGGAGAGCAGATTGTGACCCAAGAGCTGAGAGACACCTTGTTGAGGCACTCGGGGATCGCGCCGGGGACAGAACCTGTGCCTACCACACGTACCATCCTTACGATGCTCCTTAATCGCTACTCAGAGCCCCCAGGCAGTCCTGAGCATGCAGGTACCACTGTGACGGGGGTTGGTTCTGCTGAGGAATCGGTCATTGCTCAGATTTCCGTACCAGCCGCTGACTGGGAAGACAAGGAATCTTCAGAATCTTCAGGGCATGAGTGAGAGTTCTGGTGCTCAACTTAGATCTTAAGTAGAACTTCCTGAAAAAGGGGAAAGGGAGACTAACAAGTGCCTCTCTGAATGGCTTTAAACATACATGGATTCCCAGCTATCTGGGCTAGGCTGGCCCCAGTCTTATCAGACGGTAGGAGATTGAGGTGGCATCTGGGGATCTACAGAAAGTTTGTGCCTAGAAACATGAAATACTGATGTCATGGGCAAGAAACGCTTTGTGTTTAAAAAACAAGTGAAAACCCAGAAATATGGAGGGATATTTTAATAAGCAGTATATATCTTATTTTAAAAATTTTGCCAGAGGGTAGCATGTTTACTGACCAGATAGAGACAGACAAAGTGAGAAAGTACCCCCCCATGGGGGATAGTCCCATTGCAGTCCCTTCTCCCCCATTTCTCCCTCCTCTCAGGATTGTAGCATGCATGCACATGTGCCTGGTGTTTAAAGCCCTACGTTTGGGATGCAAACCATATAGTTGGCCATGTGGGGTCCAGCCACCTTAACCACCACAATACTAGCTGGCCCTGTATAATTAAAAACAAATTCTTTTTGAGAGAGAGATTTTTGCTATAGGGTGCATGCACTCACCAGAGACAGAGACAGAGAGAGAGAGCACGCACGTGCAAAATCACCCCCAGGGGGCATGACCACACCGCATTCCCTCCTCCTCCATTCTCCTCTCAGGATCCTGGGCACATATGTGCATGGTCCAGCATGAGTTTAAGCCACCAGGTCTGGGACTCAAACCACAGTCAACTATGTGAGAGTCCAGCAACATAGCCATTACACCATCTGCTGGTTCCAATTTTAGAATTTTTAAAATTAATTAAGCTCTTCTTTCCAAGAGAGACAGAGAAACAGTGCCCCCAACCAGGTCTTAACATTGATCCACGCCCAGCTTTAGCCAGACCCAGATCATGGGTGTGCCTGTGCCAGGGGTACTCAGGTGAGTTTTCAGACTTGAACTGGGAACCTTTCCATGTGGGATTGCCTGGAAGAACATTGCAATTTACCGCTGTGCCACCATTTCCCCCCCAATACAAGTCCTTTACGTATCTAAAGCCACCATGCTAGGTCTTACAGGGATGCAGTTTTCATAGCTGGTGTTTATTGTAGCTAACATTTAATCCCAAAGGATAATCATATGACTGTATTCGAGATTAAGTTTGTGTTGTGTTTGCCAACACAGCTTGGCAGTGTTTTACAGAACTAGATTTTGTTGTTGTTGTTCAAGTGTAATCAGGTATGTATTTGAGGTCAGAAAAGAAAATTCCTAGTAGTTCAGTAAAAACTTTTTTTTTGGAGAGGTTTTTGCCATAGGGCGCATATCCTTGCCAGAGAGAGACAGAGAGATAGAAAGCGAGAAATCACCCCCAGGGGGGATGGCCACGCCGCAATCCCTTCTCCTCCATTCTCCTCTCAGGATCTTGGGCACGCATGCATACTCGCCCAGCGTGAGTTTTAAGCCACTGGGTCCAGGACGCGAACTGAGGTCGACTACGTGGGAGTCCAGCGACATAGCCATTACACTAACTGCTGGTCCCAGTAAAAACTTTTAAGACATCCTCACTATGGGAGGACATTTTAGGGGTGGTTATCTAGATCTTCCTATTTCTTGGTTTGAACCACTCAAAGACTCTTCATGTACATTTTTTCTGTCTGGTGTGTCGGGGCCGCAGTGCTGGAGACCCCTAGCACCCAGAGTCAGGACGGCTCGCCTGAGCTGCTGATTCGATCCCTGGTGGGCGGCCCGTCTGCAGAGCTGCTCCTGGATTTGGAGCACGTACTGTGCCATGAGGGCAGCCCCAGGGGTGCCGTGAGGCCCCTTCTCAAGCGCCTCCAACAGGAGACCCAGCCCTTCCTTCTGCTGCTGCGGACTCTGGATGCCCCCGGGCCCAACAAAACTCTGCTGCTGACCGTGCTGAGGTGAGGGGCCTTTTCAGGTATCCACGTGTTGGGGACACGAGGAGCTCCGAGGCTGTCCGGGCTTCCCTTGTCTGCATCTCTTCACCAGGGTCATGAGCCGCCTGCTAGATTACCCTGAGGTGATGGTCCTCCCCTGGCATGAGGTCTTGGAGCCCTGCCTCAACTGCCTCAGTGGCCCCAGCAGCGACTCAGAGGTACAGAGCCCTGGCCAGAGTTGGGGGGAAAGGCAGCATCTGAGGTGCCGGCTACTTTGGGAGGCTCTTGGGAGCACAGCAGAGTCTGAGTGGGTTTGGGGTACTGAGTGGGTGTGGGTGAATGGCAAGAAGAAGGCTAATGTTATCTGCGAGTCTCAAAACTGGGGTTTTGAAATACTAACCTATGGCTGCACCTGGAGTTTAGAGTCTGGGTGTAGGAGATGTCCCCATTCACCCATCTGTCAGTCCTTTCTGTCCACCCTCTAGGACCAGGTGGTGTGGCTCGCTCTGTACCCTGAGCGAGGCCGAGGCACCCAGATTGGCTCTTGAAATAGCTTGGCCCTGGCAGGAAGAATCCTGGAGAGCTGTGCCCGAGCTCTACTACTCTGGAGTTCCACTCCCCACATACTCTGTTCCGCTCTATCTTTGGTACTTTTGGGCTTTTGAGTTTCTCCAAAATCTCAGCCACCACATCTTCTTTGCTGAACTCAGCCCTCAACTCTGAATGTGCCTTGCTCTTGGTTTCCCATGCATTAACGCGTGTGGCTCTGGGCTCAGATCGTGCAGGAGCTGACCTGCTTTCTGCATCGCCTGGCCTCGATGCATAAGGACTACGCAGTGGTGCTGTGCTGCTTGGGAGCAAAAGAGGTCCTCTCCAAAGTCCGGGACAAGCACTCGGCTCAGCTGCTTCTGGGCTGTGAGCTTCGGGACCTGGTGACAGAGTGTGAGAAACACGCCCAGCTCTACAGCAACCTCACCTCCAGCATCCTCGCCGGCTGCATTCAGGTGAGGAGGGCCGTGGGCACCAGGCTGAGAACGCGTATGCTAGAAGCAGGAGAAGGAGATGCAGTGGGTCCCATTTGGCATCCATTTGGTGGGGCTTATCTAGGGTGCTGTTGAAATTTGGGGAGAAAGGCTTTGAGTGCTCTGTTGCCCATTGACTCTCTCTAGATGTGTGTATGTGTGTGTATGTGTGGTGTGTCTCCTCATGTTCCTCCCTCTCCTCTCCCCCCTTTGCTCTGATGCAGATGGTGCTGGGCCAGATCGAGGACCACAGACGAACCCACCAACCCATCAATATTCCTTTCTTTGACGTGTTTCTCAGGCATCTCTGCCAAGGTTAGTGCCTTCATCCACTTTCTCCCAGCTCCTCTGCCCCCAACTTCTGTTCTTTCCTTCTCTTTCCACCCCTAGTCCCTTTCTTTATTCTTTCTAAACTGCTGGCATAGTGACCTCCACCCTTCCCGACTGCCCCCAGGCTCCAGTGTGGAGGTGAAGGAGGACAAGTGCTGGGAGAAGGTGGAGGTGTCCTCCAACCCGCACCGGGCCAGCAAGCTGACAGACCGCAACCCCAAGACCTACTGGGAGTCCAACGGCAGCTCTGGCTCCCACCACATCACCTTGCACATGCACCGTGGTGTTCTTGTCAGGTGTGAACACACCCATGTGCATTACGCACATGCATGTATACACACGAGTATTCTGATGTGACCCAATATATATCCCTGAGAACCCCCATGCCTGAGGGACACACGCAGTCTTATTTTATGCAGTGAACAGATACACAGATTGACCTGATTTTGCTGTGCTGAGTCCAAACGCCCCTCACTCCCTAAGACTGGTGACCTGTACACCAGCAGGTCGAGATGTCACTGCCCTGTGCTCAGTGATGAGAGAGATCAACCACTTATCCATTCTTCCTCTGGGCATTAGTTTTTTTTTTTGCTTGTTTTGTTTTTAGGTTTTTGCTTTGTGCTCCCAGAGAGAGAGGTAGAGACAGGGAAAGTGAGAAATCAACCCAGTGTGATTTTTAAGCCACTGGGTCCAGGACTTGACCGTGGTTAGCCATGTGGGAGTCCAGTGCCTTAATCACCACTTGCTGGCTCCTGTGACCATTAATTTAACACTGAGCATTTGTGCAAGGATCTGGAGATAGGCAATAAATATGGTGTCCCTCTTCAGAGAACTTGCCGTCTAGTTGGGAAGCCAGGCTAGAAAATCAGTAAGATAAAGAATAAGAAAGAACGTTATGGCCACCACATGTCCTGGGTTCTTAGGCCAACTGAGATCAGAGCAGATTTCCTTGCAGAAGGGGGGGTAGACTGAGCTGAATTTTGATGTCAATAAAGAGAAAGCAATGGGTATTCCGGGCAGATTGACACATATGTGCAAAGTGTAAGAAAGAAATATGATGTTTTGGGGGAACATTAACTGTATTTGGCTGAAATGAAGGGTGCGGGTATCAAAGTGGCAGGAGGTGAAGCCAGAGAAACAAGCAGAGACAAATCAGAAAGCTTAGTGGGTGGGACCAGCGAGTGGCATGGTGGTTAAGGCGCTAGGCACTCCCACGTGGCCAACCACGGTTCAAGTCCTGGACCTGGTGGCTTGCTTTCTCACTTCCCCCCTCTCTGTTTGCGTCTCTCTCTGGCTAAAATAAAATAAATGAATGAATAAATACAATTAAATAATTTTAAAAAAGTTTAGTGAGCTAAGAAGTTTGAAATTCATTCCAAACTTGGAGAGCCTGAAACCAGTAGGTGGCATTGTGGTTAAGGCTCTGGATTCCCACTTGGCTGACCACAGTTTGAGTCCCAAACTCAGTGGCCTGAAAATCACAACAGATAAGTAGATCAATACGTAAATAGATGATAGATGTAAAGAAATTTTTAAAAACTTGGGAGAGCCATTGAAGGGCTTTTTAAGAAAAGGGAAAACTAGATTTTTTATTTAGAAAGCTCGCTCTGGCAATGTGGGGAGTTTGGGATGAGGACCAGGAGAAAGAGTTGGAACATTATGCAGTGGTGTAGTTGGGAAATAGTCAACGTGTTCAGTTAGGCCAAGAGAACAGGCATAGAGCGGGGGATTTACAGGGAGATGAGGGGTAGGGTTTGAGGGACTTGCCATTGAGTGCCAGACGGCAGCCACGTCAGAGAGTAGTCCATGGTGCCAGTGTGCTTGTCCGAATGCTAGCTAGGTAGTAGGATTTCATTTTTTTTTTCCTTTATCTATACTCCTTTATTTTTTTTGTCTTATTTAAATTTATTTACATTCATTCACTGTACATCATTACAGCATACAAAATGAGATTTTCCATCCAGAGTACACTGTATATTGTCTCAATCAAGTACATCAACATACATGTTATTGTCAACAAATAATTTTCCATTTCTTGTTTCCTGTATGTTTTGCTTCCCTCCTCCATCCTTGATTCCCTATGTCTTACCCTCAGCCATCTCCCACTCTCTTCCCACACTGTCTCTGGTATCTATGTTTACTTTCTATACTGTATACTGTTTCCCCCCCATTTTTTATTGAATTACTAAAGATCTTAATCAATCTAAATATTTTCATAGCAAACACAGCTGATATATACATTTCCATGAACACAAGTCTAACTTTAGGCATCCTATAAAGTAGCACCTAGCTGGGGCTATATATCTTACTGTGGTCATCGAATGGATATGTAACTCAATTTACATTCCTTCCCTAAGCATAATCACAGCACACAAAATGCGATCTCCCATCCAGTACACGCTGCATAGTGACTCAATCATGCAATTACAAAAAGTTTTCCATTTCTAGTTCCTAGAAATATTTCCACCCCTCTTTCTGACCCTCTGTCCCTTCCCACCCTCCTCTCACACCACCTCCAGTGTCCACAATTG